CCTTTGTGGCCAAACTCGAGGCTACAGGCTCTTGTTGGAAACCTTAACAGCAGAGGTATGCTTTGATAGAAATGTCAATAAGGAGCCTGTCATTTTATTGCTGTTGACTTGATTGGGTTGCTTTAATGTAGTCTGTAACTTTGCATCCAGAATCCATGGGTTCAGCTAACCACACATGGAAAATATTTGTCAAATGTCTACAATGAATGTGTGCAGGCATTTTCTTGTTATTCCTTAGGTATTACATCAGAACAACTAGTTACATGGCATTCGCATTCTATCAAAGGAAACAGGGAGATGATTTTAAGTACAGACAAGCATGTGTGTAGGTTATATACAAATGTCCAGCCACTTCCAGGGCCTTGAACATCCATGGATTTTGATATCTGCAGGTTTCCTAGACCCAATCTCCCACTGACAACACTTTTCTCGGGTTCTTCGGATGGTGGTTCAGATCTCAGACTTGGGCGTTAGATAGCTGGACCCATTTCCTGCCTCCCTAACTTGGTGGATGATGCTTAGAAGCAGATAACAGCCTCTATGAGCTTGTTTTCTTATCTTAGGGTTGGAGGCCATTCTCTGTTATATAATAAGTTTGAAGCCAGCATGGGTTACTCGAGATCCTGTTTCAAAAAAGGGGAAAAGTAATATTTGCCTCACTGGGGGTGAGGACAAATGAGGCAATTCATATAGAGTTTAGTGTTGTGCCAAGCATACGAGGACCGTTTCAGTGAGTGGCTGCTACTATTCTTTTTAGATATACTTTATTTTTTCAGTGATGGGCATTGAACCCGGGACTTTCCACATGCTAGTCAAACACTTCACTGCTGAGCTCAACCCCAAACCCCTGCCTCCTTACAAATGTGTTTGTTTCTTCTGTTCTTCCTCACAGCACCCAGTTTGGCCTTCTCCCTCCAAAGCACCCAGTTTGGTCCTCTCTCCAGTCAGACCCAAATAATCCAGTTGGAAAAAAAAAAGTTGGAAAAAAAAAAAGTCAGCTTCGGGAATTCCCCAAAACAGCAAGCTTTCTGAGAAGAGAAGAGAGGTACCTCGTCTCGGCAGCGGCACAGACTGTATTTTTGGTGGCCCCCCAGCCACTGTGTCGCCTATTTTAGACTTCTGCTTTCTCGCTGGTCTCGACCTCCATCAGAGGCCTGAAGATGGAAGGTTTGGAGTCTGGCAGGAAGACTGGACTGCTCCAGATAAACAGGCACTGATGAGGGGAACGAGACCGTAGGCTTCTCCCAGAAGTGGTGTGCTGGCTGGTGGGGCTGGGAAGCCGGCTGGTCTACCCGTGGTCTCAAGCCGTCCCTTGGACCGGATCTTTAATGTGAACAGTGTTTTTTGTGAATGAGCTACGAAGAGGCTCACAGAGATACCAACCAACAAAAACAATTCTTTTGATGAATTATCCCCAAATAAATTTGGTTTGTGGGAACCATCCTTTTTTTTTTAATGTCCTGGATGAAGGGTGAGAGGTGGAATTTGAAGTGTGGAACTCCTGAGAGATGTCCCTAGAGAAGAGCTACAAAGGACTCAGCACATGGGGACTGGATTGGTTCTGGGGAAGGTTAGGAGGTGATGTGTTGGAAGTGGGGGATTTAACTTAGTGGTTTTCCTCATGCTGGGGATCTGCATTGGTGGCTGCTAGCTAGGCCTATGGAATTTGGGCATGTCTTTTTCAAAAGTGTTGAACAGGCTTGCCAAAGCAACAGCTGATGACTGAACTCTTGGTCTGAAATGTGTGGTTCCTAGACTTTGGGTTGTAATCATGAGATTTAAAAGGGTTAATCTTATTTAAAATTGGTGGTGGTGGGTGGTGGTGGTGGTGGTGGTGGTGGTGGCGGCGGCGGCGGCGGTGGCAGCGGCAGCGGCAGCGGCAGCGGCAGCGGCAGCGTTGGTGAAATGGCATGAAATGGCTCAGCGGTTAAGAGAACTGACTGCTCTTGCAAAGGACCCGGGTTTGATTCCCAGCACCCACATGACAGCTCGTAACTGTCTGTAACTCCAGACCCAGAGGATCTGAAACCTTCTTCTGGCCTCTGTAGTCAGTACATGCACATGGTGTGTGGACATACATACAGGCAAAACACCCATACACATAAGATAAAAATAAATGTCAAAAAACAAAAACTAGATAGAAAGGTTGATCTTTAAAATCCTTTGTTTTACTCAAACTTGATTCATGGCTCCTTGGGGTCAGTTGGGGGCTCCAATTCTGGCTACCTTTCCTTGACTATCACAGGCCTTTCCTCATTCTTTGCATCTTCCTCCTCACTCAGCCAATCAGGGGCAGGGTAAGTCTTCTCTAAGACAGTCTCTTCCCCTGTCCCCCTTCCCCCTTCCCTCTCTTTGAAGTACTGAGGATTGGAGTCTTGTTCATACCAGGCAAATGCTCTATTATTGAGCCACATCTGGCTTAGCCCCTGGGTCACTGATTTCTTGGCTTGAGACAGGGTGTTGCCCATAACTCAATGGTAAGACTTAAGGCTGAAGATACCACATACCTTGGTAAACATGGGGAAATCAATCTGGAACTGACTGGAAATCTTCCTCCTTGTTAGCTAGCTTTCATAGTGCCAGAAGGTGCTGTGTAGACCGTGGAGGGAGGAGACACCAATGATCTTACGCAGTGCTGGACCGTGCACTGAGACACATCGAACCCTCTGGTAGAGTAGTTATGTGACTGTTATGGGGGTAACTAACCACTTTCTGATTGGATTGCAGGCCTGCTCCACAGGAGGGGATTCATTCCTGATATTGTAAACCTGGCCAGAAGTCTGTAGCTGGGGTTGGGGGTGGTGGTAGGTTCTAGGGGGAAACCTACTACTATTGTTCTGGTAGATGTTTGTGTTGTGAAACCGCCTTCTGTGTATTTGTGTTTTTACTGATAGGTGAGTACTGCTATTGGTCAACAGTTAATGCAGAGATCCATAAATGGTCAAAGCGCTGCAAATAAGTGATTACTGAGTGCTGAGTGCTGCATGGGACCAACTTCTGTAGCAAGGCCCCCAAGGTTCAGGGGACATTGCCAAAAGGAGCAGAAAGAGAGAGCTGGAGGATGGAAAAGCTGCTGTAAAATGTCTTCTGGACTTGACAACAGCTGTGGGTCCCTACAGCAGGTCTAGCCAATCAACATCCCAGCACCATTGGGAGGAAAGTTCATAAAGTCCCGCCTCTATCTGAGGAGCTATTGGGAGTTGATGACTGTTGAGAGAGTCAATTTTCTTCAGAGTGTGGCCATTAATGGGTCATCCATGTCTCCACTAGATGACTGCACGCCCACATTGTATATGTGTACATGCACAGCACTAGTTGTTCAGGCTGGAGAGAGAGTCCAATGGTTAAGAGCATTTGCGGCTCTTCCAGAAGACCCGGGTTCAATTCCTAGCACCCACATAATGGCTCACAATCATCTGTAACTCCAGTTCTAAAGGCTCTTTCTGGCCTCCATGAGCACAGGCATGCACATGATGCACAGATATACATGGAAACAAAGAACTCATACACATAAAATAAAAAGTATTAAACAATAAAAAAATAAAATTAAAAAGAGGGCATGGAGGGTATTGCTCTGTAGCCCAGGGTAACCTGGAACTCATGGGCAGTCCTTTTGCCTAGGCCCTAGAGTGCTGGGTTAAATCCACTCTACGAGCTTGAATCTCTGATTTCTGATTCATTCTTGTAGGGCTACATTTGTAAATGATTCCCCAAACTCTCCAAAACGACATGCTTGCTCTAAGTTTATTCCGTTTTACCATCTACTCTGGTTAACCATGGAGAAGAGTCGCCAATTGCCTCTCTTTGTTCTTCGGGGCCACAGAAAGCATCTGTTAAGGACACAAGGATTGTGTCAGCATATGTTGAAGGCAGCGTTCCTATCTGGGACATAGCAGAGTTGGGGACTTTCCATAGCTGAAGTATTCATAGAGGAAGGGGCTTCATTCATGGCCTATTAGGTTAAATTCTCCCTTGGGCTGAGGGGTGCCTTTCTACTTCTTAAACAGTGTGTGCATTAGGGAATGGCCTTCAGGATACAGAATCAGATGGATGGATGGTGATTTTACATCTATTGTTCTGGGCCTGAGACTGATGGGGGAAGAAGCTTGAGATTGGGTGGTATTCTTAATCCTCAGAGAGCACTCTGCAGAAGCATAGAACTCGATCCATTCCATTTGGCTTCCATTCTGGGCTCAGTAGCGAGAACTGAAGAGGAAGAGCAAGCCCACATCTCTCTCCTAGCCCCAGCTCCCCACAAACCTTCTTTATATACAGGCACAGAGTTTCAGAGTTGAGGTAGATCCACAGTTATCAAACACTAATGTTGTCAAAAACCAAAACAGGACTTCAGGAGATCACAGGGGAAACCTGCTTGTTTGCCGTCCCAGAGCCACCTTCTACAGAGGGTTGACTATTAATCCAGCAAAATGCAGGTACACAGTGCAGGGAGAAGGCTTTGAAGTTAAGTGACTGTGTTCAAGCTTTGACCCTGCCTCTTCCCTTTTCATACCAAAAAGTTTATGTGGATGCTTTGGGACAATTTTCCCACACAAATACTCTTAGCTTAGAAAGGGTTGTAGTCATCACGAAGTAAAAAAATCCAGATTTCAAAATTCATCGAACACAGCTAACCTGTACAACATTCCAACTTACCAACACCACACTATACAGGTTTGGGTGTTCCCTAGCTGATGTGATCATGTGGCTGCCTGGGAGTGGTGACATGCCATTGCTCATCACTGAGAGAGAGGATATTATCACCTGCCACTAGCCTGAGATGATATCAAATTTCAGAACTCACAGTACAGCTTCTAGCGAATGCATATGGCTTTCACATCAGCACCAAATAGGAAAACAAAATCAAATGGCAAGCCATGCTAAATTGAAGCTTTCTTATATAAAAGTGGAGATTTATGGGGTTTAATTTTTTAAAATTGATGTTGTGTGTCTGTAGGGTCAGAGGACAATTTGTAGCTGTTGGTTTTCTCCTACTGTGCAGGTCCTCGAGTGTTCTAGTTCGCTTTCTGTTGCTGTGGTAAACACCATGACCAAAAGAAACTTGCGGAAGGAACGGGTTTACTTGATTTACATTTCTACTTCACAGTCCGTCATCCAGGGAAACCAAGGCAGGAACTTGGAAGCAAGAACTGAAACAGAGCCCACAGAGGAGTGCTGCTCACTGGCTTGCTCTGTTTGCCTTTGTGTACAAAGGGACCACCTGTCCAGGGGTAGCACTGCCCACAGTGGGCTAGGTCTCCCATATCAATCATTAATCAAGAAAATGCCCCGCAGACATGCCCACAGGCCAGTCTGATGGAAGCACTCCCTCAACTGAGGTTTCCTCTTCCCAGGTGATGCCAGTGGGTCCCGTTGGTAAAAATTTAACCAGGAAACTCAGGTTATCAGGCAGAGTAACAAGTGCTTTTGCCCAGTGCATTATCTCTCCAGCCCAGGACTTTTCACCACTGACTAAATGAACAGCTTAGGCAATTGTGCCTGGGTTGAGGTTTCTAACCTTGTCAAGTTTTGTTTGTCCAATTTAATTCTCTCTCCTCCAGCAACTGACTCTTTTGTTTTTTATGCAATGCTAGCCATTCAATCATTTTTTAAAAATAAATATCCCTTTCTTTTAAAAAAAATATTGTTTATTTTTTATGTTTATGTGTGTAGATGTTTTGCCTATGTACCACATATGTGTAGTACACATGGAGGCCAGAAGAGGGCATTGGATCCTGGGGGACCTGGAGTTACAGACAGTTGTGAGTGGCCATGAGGGTGCTGGGAATTGAACCCAGGTCCTTTGTAAGAGCAGCCAGTGCTCTTAGCTTTTGAACCATCTCTCCAGGCCCCTAACATTCAGTCTGAGTAGAAAAACTGAATGGTATAGATGGTAGTGTCTTCTGGTCCCAATCTCTTGTTAATTTTTATTTCTGTGAGCACAAAGCCGTTTAACCAGACACCTTAATTCCTCTTCCTATCCAAAGAAAGAGAATGTAAGGGCACCAAGAACAGGCAAGGGCTTTGGGGAGCTGAGAGGAGATGATCCTGGAGGGCACGAGGCTGCTTGAGACCAAGTGAGCTGGGTCTCCTCATCCTTCAACAACCAGGTTTTCTGTTTGACTTTTCAGTAGTTTTGGCCCTTAGAACACTAGATGCTACCATGTTTGAAGGCTTCCAGAAACATCCAGGCCCTTGCCGAGAGAGTAGTCCCAAGGTTTGAAGGGGTGGGGCTGCCCGTGAATGAATAATGGAGACAATAGTGAGTGGAGAATCTACTCTTGAAATCGGAGGCAATTCCTGGACCTCCTTTAAAGGCTCCAGCCCTAGCCAGGCAGTAATAGCATATGACTTTAATCCCAGCACTTGGGAGGCAGAGGCAGGTGGATCTCTGAATTTGAGGTCAGCCTGGTCTATAGAGTGAGTTTCAGGATAGCCAAGGCTATGCAGAGAAACCCTGTCTTGAAAATCACCAAAAAGGAAAAAGAAAAATAAAGTCTTCAACACTCCGTTCTCTGTTCTTCTTTGGTTACCCTGACCTTGTGTAGGCTAGTATGATCATGCATCTATATGAACAGTTATCTTTCCCAAAATGCTAGGTGTGTGTGTG